CTCCCTCACTCTGTCACTAGTCACCCCCTCCCTCACTCTGTCACTAGTCACCCCTTCCTTCCCTCACTCTGCCACTAGTCACCCCTTCCCTCACTCTGCCACTAGTCACCCCTTCCCTCACTCTAGTGACAGAGTGAGGGAGGGGGTTACTAGTGACAGAGGGAGGGGTGACTAGGGACAGAGTGAGGGAGGTGGTGACAAGTGACAGTCACCACCTCCCTCACTCTGTCACTAGTCACCACCTCCCTCACTCTGTCACCAGTCATCCCCTCACTCTGTCACTAGTCACGCCTTCCTTCCCTCACTCTGCCACTAGTCACCCCATCACTCTAGTGACAGAGTGAGGGAGGGTGTGACTAGTGACAGTTAGGCAGGGAAGGGGTGACTAGTGACAGAGGGAGGGGTGACTAGGGACAGAGTGAGGGAGGTGGTGACTAGTGACAGTCACCACCTCCCTCACTCTGTCACTAGTCACCACCTCCCTCCGTCACTGTGTCACCCCCTCCCTCATTCTGTCACCAGTCATCCCCTTACTCTGTCACTAGTCACCCCTCCCTCACTCTGCCACTAGTCACCCCTTCCCTCACTCTGTCACCTGTCACCCCCTCACTCTGTCACTAGTCACCCCCTCACTCTGGTGACAGAGAGAGGGAGGGTGTGACTAGTGACAGTGAGTAAGGGTGTGACTAGTGACAGTGAGTAAGGGTGTGACTAGTGACAGAGAGAGGGAGGGTGTGACTAGTGAGAGTGAGGGAGGTGGTGATTAGTGACAGAGGGAGGAATGGGGTGACTATCACTGTGTCACCCCCTTCCTCACTCTGTCACTAGTCACCCACTCCCTCCCTCACTCGGTCACTAGTCACCCCCTCTCTCACTCTATCACCAGTCATCCCCTCACTCTATCACCAGTCACCCCTTCCTTCCTTCACAGTGACAGAGTTAGGGAGGGAGTGACTAGTGACAGTGAGAGGGATGGGGTGACTAGTGACAGAGTGTGGAAGAGGGTGACTAGGGACAGAGGGGGTGATTAATGACAGAGTGAGGGAGGGGGTGACTAGTGACAGTGAGGGAGCGGGTGACAGTGACAGAGTTAGGGAGGGAGTGACTAGTGACAGTCACTCCCTCCCTCTGTCACTAGTCACTCCCTCCCTCTGTCACCAGTCATCCCCTCACTCTGTCACCAGTCACCCCTTCCCTCCCTCACTCTGCCACTAGTCACCCATTCCCTAACTCTGTCACTAGTCACCCCCTCTCCCTCCCTATGTCACTAGTCACCCCCACTTACTGTGTCTCCCCCTCACTCTGCCACCACTCAACCCCTCCCTCCCTCACTCTGCCACCAGGTACCCCCTCACTCTGCCACCTGTCACAACCTCCCACACTCTTCCACCTGTCACCTTCTCCCTCACACACTGTCACCTGTCACATATGCATTCACACAGACACTATATACAAAAAAGCACATGTAGTCATCCGACATGCACAAGTGCATTCACACAGACTCAAATACAAACATGCATTGATACACAGGTCTTCACAATATACACATCCAAAGGAATGCTGTATTATGAGTTATATTTAACATTTATTTAATGCACATATATTTGGCCTTCAAAGGGCCTGGGATCTAATTTTGCCCGGGGGCCCCAAAGGCTCTCAGTCCGCCCCTGCCACCATATTGTTACTAAATGGATCACAGAGTTTCCATGCGCAGTCAATATTACTAGAAAAGCAACTGAACAAAGTATGGCCTTTATAATGACAGGTTCTACTGGTCAGATATAAATATAATTTCCTATGACTTTCCATTCTCACAGATTATTAGGTCTAACAGAGAGCAGAATAAGAGAAAAGTTAAAGAATCAGTGAGTTATATTATCAGTCCTTACAGTAAAAGAAAAATCTATAGAGAAGCAGAGAAAAGAACACTAGAAGGTTAAGCAGAAACATAAGACAAGACCAGGAGGAGCAAGGCAAGGCCTAGGCAGAACAGGGACATGTGAGTGTGAGGGTAGTGTATACAGCGGAATGTGGTAAAGTGGTCCTGGGACAGTGGTTGGAGTAGTAGGGGGTAGATGGGTGGCTTGGTAATTGCTGGTTGTTGCGCTTGGTATACCTGATCTCCAAGTGCTGTTTGCGGCCAGGGTATGGAAGTATCCCAGGGTATCGAAGCTGTCCTCTCTGCCCTCAGGACTGAGGCCTTAAAAGATGGGGGTCTGCACCGGCAGGCCCAGCTGGCTCATCTTCAAGCCTCTGTGGCTGTTGCTGCCTCCCCTCCCGGCGATAGCGGAGGTTCTCGGAATGTGAGCTCGTCCACCGGAATGTTTCGCCCTGCAAGGAGAACCTACGGGCCCTCCTGGATTCAGGAGTGCGGGTCTGGCCTCCCTGATTTGCCGGTCTGCGGCCACGAGGCTTGCTTCGCAACCCTTGCGGCCTGTCTCTACCCAGGCAGCGGGACGGTCCGCGCCCGCTCATCTTCCCAGTCTCCAGCCCCATGCAGCAGGAGTCGCAGTCCTTCTTCATGGGACAGCTGGCGGGCGGCTTTACAGTCTGATGGTGTTCCTGCAAAGGCTGATTCTCCTTCCGCAGCTGCTGAAGGCTTTTCGGCGGACTTGTCATCGTCAGCGGACCCACCACGTGGGACAGAGTGGTTTCTCCTCTAGGTGGGTGAGTAGGCTTAAGGGTGTCTCCCAAGGGGCAGAGGCCTCCCCTCCTGAAGTGTGGGTGGTGGCTGGGAGTAGTGTGAGGCATCTGTCTCCTACCCCTTCCCGTGGTAGCTCCGATAGCCCCCTGCCACCCTCGGGGTGCCGTCTGCAGCCCTGTCCGTCCTCGGGGTGCCGTCTGCGGCCCCGTCCTTAGACATGCAGGTTAGGGCGGGGTGGGATCCTCCTTTGGTTACTTCGTCTGGGGAGCTGGGAGTGCCCGGCCCGGGTAGGGCGCAGGTAGCCTGTGACCCAGTGGTGCCCACGGTGGCTTCACCGAGCAGGAAAGTTGGACCGGTCGCACATGGTGGGGCCTATAGTTGTTGGTCAGGCCCCCTGCATTTGTGCCAGGAGGTGCAGGACAAAATTTGGAAGGGGGAGTTTGTTGAGATCTTCTCCCTGCTCCCCTTGGGGGACTTGCCCCCTCTAGATAAGGAGGCTAAGGACTCCGACAAGGACAAAGAAAGTTTTAGGTATCGGAAGATCCTCAAAACGTTTGGGAATTGGATCAGGGCCTTTTCAATCCTAGCCAGCATCATAGGGGAAAAGGCGCCAGAGACGTGCTCGGCCCTGTTCTGTTATCAGGATACGGTCTGGACCGCATGCCGGGTATATGGGGGTTTGAGCTGGTGGCGCTATGATGAACAGTTTCATCAGCGGATGGCGGTTTGCCCGTCTGTTGGTTGGGATCAAATGGTTATTGGTTTGTGGCTGGCGATTTTGACACGCCTGGCCTCGCATCAGGGTGGTCTGTTCTTTTTAGGGGGGTGGGGCGGCGGGATACCCCACTGCATTGGCCTTGCCCAGGTGCACTAGTTGCTGCTGGCAATACAATGAAAGTGGTAGAGTAGTTGCAAGTTTAAACAGGAATGCCCCGAGTGTGGGGGTGTTCACTCAAGAAGGGTAAGACCTGGGAAGCGCGGAGATACTGTGATCTCGAAATGCGAGGACGCTGGCGCAATGCGCCTGTGGCTAAGCCATTATAGGAACTGCAGGGTGGTGGAGCTGCTCCTCGGGGGTTTCCGGGATGGGTTTTGGATTCCCCATCGGGTGAGGGATTCTCCCCGGATTTGTCAGAATCTCAAGTCGGGATATGGCTGACAAGCTCAATAAGGAGCTGTCCCGGGGATGGATGGTTGGCCTGTTCTCGGCCCCGCTCCTTAACCTACGTGTCTCCCTATTGGGAGTGGTGCCTAAGAGAGAGCAGGGTAATTATCGTCTGATTCACCAATTGTCCTACCCATTCGGGGGTTCGGTGAATAGTGACATCGATGATGAGCTGTGTAGGGTGTCGAATGCGTCAGTTGATGTGGCAGTTCGGATGGTTCGGGTGGCAGGCCCAGGGGCTCTGATGGCAAAAGCGCATATAACTTTTTGGTAGCTTCCAGTCTACTCAGACTGCCATCATCTGTTGGGTTGTTTCTTCCAGGGCAGTTATTACGTGGACCTATGTTTGCCCATGGGTTGTTCTATTTCCTGTTTCTATTTAGAATGTTTTCGTACATTTCTGGAATGGGTGGTGCGGGAAGAGTCAGTGTGCAACTAGCTTTTGCATTATTTGGATTACTTTTTGTGCGTTGGTCCTGCTGGTTTGAATGTGTGTTCACACCTTCTCCGAACCCTGGAAGCGGTCTCTCGGTTCTTCAGGGTCCCGCTTGCCCCTGATAAGTCGGTGGGTCCCTCTACCTGTCTGAGCTTCTTGGGCATTGAGCTTGATTCGGTTGCTGGGGAATGTCCTTTGCTGGTGGATAAGGTTTTGGAACTGCGCGGCTTGGTCTTTGCCGCCATTTCTATCAGGAAGATTCAGTTGCGAAACCTGCAGTCGCTCCTGGGTAAACTGCAATTTGCGTGCTGGATTATTCCTATGGGAAGGGTGTTTAATTGGCGCTTCGCAGCGGCGACCATCATTTCGTGCGTGTCACTTGCCCATTGCGCGATGAGGTGGTTTGGTCCGTCTTCTTGGACAGGTTTAATGGTTGGTCGTACTGGCAGGCGCCTGAGGTGTCCAATGCCAAACTCCATCTGTTCACAGATGCCGGAGGTGCGTTGGGTTTTGGGGCCATCTTTGGGGTCCATTGGTGTGCTGAAGCTTGGCATTCAGCAGGATTGACCAGGAACCTGGATTTCCTGGAGCTTTTTCCTATCGTGGTGGCAGTGGAGATCTGGGGTGATCTCCTCAAGGATCGCAGGGTGGTCTTCCACTGTGATAATATGGGGGTAGTGCAGGCCATCAACAATTTGTCTGCTTCCTTTCCTCTGGTGGTTCGGCTGCTGCGGCACCTGTTGGGCCTTGGGCTGACCGAATGAGGTGTTGGATTCGGGGTTCGGTCTCAGAGGTTACTTGGCAGCGTTATGGCATGCATGGCGCGAATGGGAGGAATTCGAGAGGCAGCTTGGGGGTTTCTGGTCAGATGGTGAGCGGGGTGTGCAGGGTTTGTTACAGCTAATTTGGTTCTGGGAAGCCTCAGGCTGCTCCACCTCGGCGGTGTCTGGGAAGTTGTCTGGACTGAGCTTTTGGTTTAAGCTCACCAAGGTTTCAGACATCACTGGGTGGGTGAGCTTGTGAGTCCTTCCTGGGGGTCTGTTATTTGGGGATGTCTTTGGAGAAAGAGATGCAATGAGATTTTTGAATCGGAAGTCCAAGACGGACGTTCTTGGACAAGGGACGTGGGTCACGTTACGTAGCATCCCAGGCTATATGGTCTGTCCTTTGGCTTGTGTTCATGCCTTTTTGGAGGTTCACCCAGTGGGCGGGGGTCCTTAGTTGGTTCACAGGGATGCCAGTTTCCTCTCCAGGTTTCAATTGATTAGGGTTTTCTGCATGGCTTTGGAGGTTTTGGGGCTGCCTAGTGCAGAGTTTTGGGGTACACTCTTTTAGGATAGGGGCTGCCACTGAGGCATCTCACCTGGGGTTGACTGGGGAAGTTATCCAGAGGATTGGGAGATGGGAATCTGGGAAGTTTCGATCTTATGTTCGTAAACTGGGCTGATTACGTTTCCCCCTTTGTCGTTATAGGTGCCAGAAGGCATAGCATTGCAGGATGCATTGGAGGAGGCCATGACTTTGGTGTTGGGGAATTTTGGGAATAAATGGTTGGGTATCAATGGTAAAGGTTTATGCCCATACACAGTTACCCTCTACCTACACTCAAGACCATGAGGAGCCAGGCAAGGCCTAGGCAGAACAGGGACATGTGAGTGTGAGGGTAGTGTATACAGAGGAATGTGGTAAAGTGGTCCTGGGACAGTGGGAGGAGTAGTAGGGGGTAGATGGGTGTGGTAGTATAAATAGGTTGCCATATTATGGGATAGTAGCCATCTTAATCAGTTGGGAACAGATTCCCGCCCTCCATCCCCTTATGTGTTTCATGTTTGTTCGTCTGTGTGTTTTGTCTGTCACAGCTTGGTTGACCAACGAGCATATGTTGGACCAGCGGGCGTGGAGGGAGCAGTGCGGGCTTGTGGACACCCAGTGGGTCTGTGGCGGTATATGGTCGTTATCAACCGGGGGTTGGACCAGCGGTCCGTGGAAAGTGGATGGGTAGGGCTGTCCC